CAGCAGGTAAACCTGGGATGCGCGGCAATGGTCGTGAAGGCACGGCCACAGCCGGGTCATTGGGCTCAACTATTGGTAGTTGTTCCTCAGGCTTGTCGGGCAAAGCTGGCACTTCTCCCTTCTTCTGGTTACGGATCCAATTCCAATAGCGCTCACAGCACTTCTTGGAATGTCGACCTTGTCGAGTGGCACATGAACTGCATCCTTCAGTTCGTCCATGAGCATCAACCCAATGTCGTGGAGGCTGCACCTGATCTGGAAGTCGTGCAAACTCCTCTGGCAAAATCTCAATGGGTGCCTGATCAACAAGCGATGGATGATCACCTGAACCTGAGTGACAAACAAAACGTTCAATGAGATCTTGTGGATACTCAATCGGAAAAACAAGTTTCAAACTCTTGGCTTGGAAAAACTTCAGCTCATCAGCAATTTTCGCACAAACAAAATGAGCAAACGAGTTCCTGACAGGATACAAATACGCAGCAGTGACAAACCGTCCAATACTGTCAACACTTTCTGGGGTCTCTGCAAGAACCCTAGAGCAAAACATGGCGGAAATTGGGTATTGTTCATGTGCCCTTCGCTCCTGCACTGAGGTATTCGCCCTTGGGTGATCCAGACTTCCCTTCGGACACCGCTAAAGCTGCACACGCCTACCTTTTTGGCTTGTGCGGCCTTCTCCCTCCTTCCCCTGCTGCCTTCCCGGGCGTCCGTTCTCTCCTTGTTTGCTGACTTTCGCTTGCTTTCTTCCCCTTGCGCCCTTGTTTCGGTTGGCCCGCTCTGCCCGCCTTGTTGTTCGTGGTCCTGGTTGGTGCTGCTGCCTCCCTCTCCTTTGTGGGTTTGGTTTTTTTTGCTGGCGTGGCCTGTTTTTTGTTTGGTTTGTTTGTGTGGTGCTTTTTTGTGTTGTCTGTCTCCGGCTGGTTTTTCGGTTCGCTTTGTGCTTCTGTTGTTTCCTCCCTTGCCTTTCTTTTCTGGCTCTTTTGTTTGTTTTGCTCCCACCTGTGCAACTAAGGTCCTGGTTTATCATTGTACTTGTGTTTTTTTCCGTCCAACGCCTTCATGGCTTTCGCCAGGTCGTTCAACATGTTTTATTGCATGTTGCAAATTGGGATTAATTGATTAATTATGGCATACGTAGGCCGTCTGCGGTTGAGTGGCCTCAAAAGTGAACTGGTGAAGGACCGATACGTAGTCCTGTGTACTGTCACAATGTCATCACCAAAGCACAAAACGAAACAAAACCAAAACACCAAAAACAAACAAAACACAGCAACACAAAAACACAAAAACACAAAACCAAGCAAACCAAAAAACAACCAACACAAGCAAAACAGTAACTATCATTGTACTTGTGTGTCTGACCGCAGACTGGGCAGGTTCACCTGTACTATTTACCTTCACCGGGTAACCATGTTTTTGCTTCAATGTCCTTGTGTGACTATCTGCAGAGTACTGAGGTGACTAAGGATGGCTGAGGACTGTCGACCCCAACAATCCACACACACACACACGCTACTTGGACTTCCTCCCTCTCCCCCCTCTTGGTTGGGGGTTGGTTTGTCCCTTAATTCGTTTTTCCTTTGTTTTGGCTTTGTTGTTCTGTTGCTTGGTCCCTCTGGCACGTACTTCTTTTCCTGTAAGGGGAGTAGGGTGTAGCCGGCCGGAGCCATGGACCAGGCTGCACTGCAGCGAGTTACACTGGCGCGAACCAGTGGCGCTCTCTGCTGAACAGTCTGGGGCGCCCGTGGAGCAGCAAAGCCTGCGCACATGGATCGTGAGTTTTCTCGGATCAGCGGTTAATCAGCTGGCCCACTCGTAGGGAGACTGGTGTTTTTCTGGATTTCCAGGCTGACCCATTATTTGCTATGTTGCAATGCACTGCAGGTACTTTGCTGAGACGAAGACACTCTGGGAGCACCTGAACAGTTCTGCAAATATTTTTCAGCTTGGCGCCTTCGAGACTATGCATGTTTTGACAATCAGTCTATAGTTACAGCAAGCAGGTCGTCAGGCACGACAAGTAGGCGTTGACCATGCCTGCTGGTGCCTGAAAAGTTCTTCCTGACTTAGCACGGTGGTCATGTCTACCCTGAGACGCAATTGATGTTCTAGTGGCTGGTGACGGATGGTCACTCATCTTGCACTGTGTGACCGCATTGTCGTAGCCACTGAGCCGCTCCCCGCAATGGGGAGGGGCACAAAGGACACCTGGCCGTCAATGTCAACTTCCTCCTGCTCTTGACTACGCCTGGTGGTACCTGCTCTTATTCTGAATTTGGGCACGTGAACAAGCACTCATGAGAGGACTCTGAGAGGCTGGGTTGGGTGACATTGTATAGCAATTGCGACCCTTTGTTGTCTTCTTGGCAACAATGTAGATCGCGTGTCTCACTTGTCTGGGTGGCAACTAATTCGTTTGCTGCAAGTTTTTGAGTCAGTTGCGACACGGTGGGTTTTTACCACTGTGTCATGGCAAATCTCTTGTGGTTGTTTCTGTTGGGCTCTTGCCCCGTTCGCTGTTTGCTGTGCTGTCCTTTGTGGTGAGACGCAAATCTGGCTGGGGGATCTGCGTCTTGCCTTGTGTTTTTGGTGGTGTGTGTTTTGGTTTTTATGATTTGCCATGCTGCATGCGACCACCTATGTCCATGTAGAAGTTTCCTTTATAACAGCTTCTTCTCATGCAAGGACCGAGCCTCAGAGCGTGATCGGCCATACCGGAGGAAAAAAAAAGCTTCACCCTGAGTGTTCTGTGCAGCTGCGCCTTGCAAACCTGGCAGCTGTTTCACATGTTTTTTTCCTTGTTGCCGCTCTGAGGCTCGGTCCTGACAATAAGAGAATTTTTTTTCCTCCAACGCCTTCATGGCTTCCGCCAGGTCGTTCAACACGTTCAATTGCATGGCATGTTGCAAATTGGGCTGCAAGGGTTAATTTAGATCAGGAAATTACGCCGCTGCCAGGCATCTACTTCTTTGACGGGTGGCGAGTGCATCCAACTTTGGTCATCCCTGCCAACCTACCAAGCACCAAAGAAGCCCCGGTCTGTGATTTTGAAGCCTCCGCACCTAGCACTACAAGGACAGAACCCACCAGGTCGCCAGAAGAGGAGGCGCGCGACATCCTCGCAACCGCAGCTAAGAACCAGGCAGAAGATGGACCCAACACCCGCAGAGCAGCCATTCGCGCATGCAAGCATCTGAGAGCCATGGTCAACCAACATGGTCCCTTAATCCAATCAGCGCATGAAGCTGCCAAGTCCCGTACGCAACGCAGCAAAGGCACCACAGCAGCCACCGCTCGTTACCGCCCGCAGGCAAGTGAACTCCCAGTAATATCGCCAGAACTGACATCTGAGCTATTACACTGCCTGTCAACACTGCCTGACCCGTGGCCCCTGGCAAAAGTCACCATCGACATGGAGAAACCTAGCCAGTGGGTCTCCAAAATATGCCGGTTGTTTTTTGCGGCTGACTACGCTAGGCGCACTGTAGGAGTGCCCACAGCAGCACACGGACCCGAGGTAGAATCAGCGCTTAAAGCGGTCCACAGCATTCTCCCCAAGCTGGAGGCAAGAATCATTGAATTCCTCTCGGAATGGTTACTATTGGAGTGACATTCCTGATGCCAGCAAAGCATGTGCTAGAAACCAGAGCTCCCCACCTCTATTTCATGTTCCTTAAAGCGTACTGGTTTAAGGGAACCGTACCTGGGCCTCAAAGTCACGGCATCTTTCGACCGATCGCAGTCATACCCACGAATCATTGACGGACAAGTCAGATGCATCACCCCTCATTTCAAGCCCAAGGACCTGCAGATAGCATGGAACGTGCAGTTCATCACCGTGTTTGTCCCCGCATGGATGATTCCCCTGCCTCTCAAAGAACAGCCTGAATTCCCAGCGCTACCGAAACTGGCCAAGCGAGGCTTGCTCGCTCCGGACACGTGGAACTGCAAGCGAGCACAAATCAGCCTGAAGGCTACCATCGACGTGCCAATGCTCGGAGCAATCTTATATTAGAACAAACTCAGGCAAACACTTAAGGGGTGTGGAATACGCGGGCATCGCATGAACAACTTATATAAACCCAAAACACGAAACTAACGAGCGTGTATATATATATATATGTTGTATAATAGATATACGTACGCCGGATCTCGAATTGCCACGAAAAGTCTTTAAAAATTCTTCACCGCAAAAATCAAAAATGAACTCGATGGATTTCTGATGTGAGCGCTCGCTGCAATCTTTTTCTCCGTTGTGCCAGCTCTCTGATGGTCTGGGGAGTTCGCAAGGTTGGTTCGGCCACCAAGCATTTTTGAAGTGACAGTTGGTTGTATCTGCCACTTTTTCCTTGATGTGAATCTCACGTTGGTGAGTTGTCACAAATGGTGCTCAGTGTTTTTCCCCTTCCCCCAAAAGGGTTTAGGGAGGGTGGGCCGAAGAAAAATTTTGGTTGTGAAAGAAAGGTTTTTTAACCCTCCTCTACCTCACCCTTGATGTGAAAAATGCAACACGAACATAAACTTGACGTGTGTTTCCAAGGGGAAGGTATGTTGTTTTGTTTTGGTTGTACAAGTTGTGATTTAGATGCCGCGTAACACACAAGATTTAAGTTTGTAAACGATGGAAGAAAGGGGTTTTGCACTGAGTTGCAAAATTTTGGTCTTCAGAAATTTTGCTATGTTCTTACAAAGATGGTGCTCTCACTTCGTGACAGCACTCATCTTATATTAGAACAAACTCAGGCAAACACTTAAGGGGTGTGGAATACGCGGGCATCGCATGAACAACTTATATAAACCCAAAACACGAAACTAACGAGCGTGTATATATATATGTTGTATAATATATATATACGTACGCCGGATCTCGAATTGCCACGAAAAGTCTTTAAAAATTCTTCACCGCAAAAATCAAAAATGAACTCGATGGATTTCTGATGTGAGCGCTCGCTGCAATCTTTTTCTCCGTTGTGCCAGCTCTCTGATGGTCTGGGGAGTTCGCAAGGTTGGTTCGGCCACCAAGCATTTTTGAAGTGACAGTTGGTTGTATCTGCCACTTTTTCCTTGATGTGAATCTCACGTTGGTGAGTTGTCACAAATGGTGCTCAGTGTTTTTCCCCAGTTATTGTGAGCAGCATGTAGGGAGATTTGCACAGCTGGAGCAAGGCATTCACCAAAACAGTCGGGGTTTGAACGGTACCACCATCTTCTAAGTTATACCGTTGCATCGCCTCTTTGAGGCGGTCGCGTGATGGCAAATCGGCAGGGTTTGAATATGAGCAAACTCTCTCCGTCCAGGACAGCGACGGCCAACATAGATCCACATCAGCCATTAAGCGTGACAGAGCTCGCATGGTTGGTGAATTACTGCTGGCCTTTATTGCGGATACTCTGGCCGACTCGTTGTCGATCCATTCAATAACTCGGCGATTGTGAAAATGTTCTCTGCGCGACCATTTGAGTAGCACCAAGCCCCACAGTTCCACTTGAGAGATGATTTGATCACCGGCGCAAGCAAGCCAGTGGTTCACCAGGTCTTGAGGCACGTCAAGTTTGAGGGCAAGTCTGACATCACCATCGATCAGAACAGCTCCTGCTGTAGCAGTGCCACTTTCCCATGCACCGTCAGTGAAGACGACTATGGGGCGGCCTTCGTTCAATACAGAGTGCACTCGTGGGCGTTGTTCCAATAGCATGGTTTTAGCATACAGGCAAAGGTTCTCAAGTTCACCAGGGTTTGCGCCACGAAGTTTATCTGCAAATGGCATGAAGGCTGAAACGAGATGCCTCATACTCCTACCCAAATAAAAACTGACGGCAAAGTTGATAAGACCCTGAAGCTCGCTTGCCTTTGCGGCTGAGATGCACTTGTCCCGTGCAACCTGATCCAGCATTTCACACAGCTTGTCAATGCGGCTCGTTTTGTTTTTGACAGTCAGGGTGCCCATGCTCATGCTAGTGAGGTCAAACGTTACTCCAAGCAAGTCAAACGCTGGCGCGAAGTTGAGGGCTTTGTCACCTTCTTTGGCGTGATCCCACCCAAGCAAATCAAGAAGCGCACTGAAGGCCAGTGTCAACACACGACAGCCTTCCGACCTCTCAATCGTCGGGAAGTCGTCAAAGTAGTGGGAAGTGATGGCTTTGAGAAGTGTGGAAAGCAGAAACCAAAGGGCCTGTGATATCCTTACAAATCCATAAACGCTTCCAGTGCAACCAAAGGGGAGTGACACGCTCTTATAAAACTGCCAGGTGCCCCCTTTCGGGAAACCAACAACAGCATGGACTTGGTGATCTGGGAACACTGCCAGTTGTTTGTAAGCTTTGCTAAGGTCAAACGTCTTGCCCAGCCATGCCTTTGCCTCGGCGCTGGAAAGTCCAGCTTCCCTCATGGCGCCAAGAACCATTGCAGCTGCGTAGTCAACGTCTTGAAGTTGAAGCTTGACTGTTGAAGAATATGCCGCGTTGACGGCACTCTGTTTGGCGTCGTCTATGACCCTAACCTTTTGATTTGCACCTTGAAACAAAACAAACCGGGGGTTCAAAGACCAGCATTCTGTACCCAACAGCACAGACATCTCAGATTCGGAATACGGGCCTTGCAAGAAGCCTTTCTCCACCTCGGATGCGGTTGCCTCCAACAAAGCGTCTTCTTCGAGTTTGGATATTGGTCTGGCCGTCTGCATTATGCTGTCTCTTCTCCACTTAGCTGATGCCATCAACTCTTCCTCTGTCATGCTGGCGGGGACCATGAGTTGCTGATATCCACTTGGTGGCTCTTGCAAACCCACCAGTGGGACTCCAAACTTCAAGAGGTCAACAACGGCCATGTCCCAGTAGTTCAACTGTTGAAGAAGCTTTTCAAAGAGCAGTATGTTCTTGCTACCGACACACCTGCTGACATCCGGGTGCAAGTTCGACTTGAGCTCCTTTTCTTGCGGATTGAGGTCTGTGGACAGCTTTTTGATGTGAAATACTGATGACAAACGGTCTTTGGCCAGCTTAGTTGGGCAGGTGCCTACGACATGTATGATGGCGTCCTTGGTGATTTGATGCAGAAACGAATCTTGGTCAATGGGATGGCTCACACCCAGCGCTTTCTGCAGGAACTCCTCTGGTTCATGCCATACCCCATACTTGAAGGTGGTCCTGGACCGCTTGGTTGGTCCTTCCTCTGGGACACATTGTTCGTCAGAGTGTTGCTGCTCAGTGTTGGGTTCCCCATGTTGTGGTGGAGCAGCAAGAAGTTTATGAGCTGGGTTCGTGGAAACAGCTTCGAGGTGTAAGAATTCCTTGTACTCGGGCACCAGGGGGTGATGTTTAATACTTTGCTGGCCCAAACCTAGCCGTAAAAGATCTTTGAGCCTTCTCGAAGGTGATGGCTTGACACCTTGAAGAGCAGCTGCCTCCAGAACACAAGCTGCCATGCGCTTACACAAGATGCCAGGATATTCTGCTTCAGCTGCTGTTGGGAACATAACTCCCTGGTCGCTTTTGTAAGGTTGCCAAGAGGCATGCGCATGGTTCTGGGGGCAGTCAGCGGCCAGCGAAGTGAAAAGACCTTGGGTTGCCAATAGCTTGGTCCGCTTGTCTCTCAGGCTGCCATGAGCACAGGTATCAAAGTAAATGCTTTCCAAATTTGCAAACCATGTTATGAATTGCTGGTCGTCGGTGTCTTTGACCAAAACAGCAAGAAGTGCCCAAAGCCATGACCGCGCTGGATTTTCAATTGAAACCAAACATCCCAAAACCATGCAAACTTGCAAAATACGTATGGCTGCTTGGTAGAGCTGATTCGCAAGGCTCACTTTGGTTTTGTCAGCTCCTGTGAGGTGAGGAAGGCCTCGCAGGTGTTCAGCATCGCGCAAAGGTTGAGGTCCCATGTGGCCTCCGAGTTTTGCTGGCATTGGTTTTTCCCGGGCACGGGAGCATGTTCCACAGGGCAAGCCCAAGTGGACGTGACACGGCTTGCAGTGGCGTAGCATTGATTCAAGCAACACCAGCTGGTTTGAATTAGAAACATCCAGAACAAAGACCTTTACCTTAGGTGAATGTCGATTTGCCGAATGATCTATTGGGTAAACTTGGAATCCAAGGCGCCTTAAGGCGTCGGACAATCCTGCTGAGCCACAGCAGATTTCAAATGTTGTGGCCTCCAAAGTGAAACTGCTTTCGATCTCCGTCGCATCGAGTCAGTGTGGGCATTCGTTGCCCGGGTGAAGCTTGTGGCACGATTTCTTCCAGCACATGTGATAGCCCACCATGCAACGTTTGCCAGGTTTGATCTTGGCTGTGCAACGTCCAACTTGCCAACGCTTGCACAACTGCTTTCCGTCTACAAAAATCTCACAATCATCGGGAACTGCAATGCCTGTGTTAGGCTTTCCTTTCCCGTTAGAAGATTTTCCTTTGCTGTCAAAGTGATTTGAGCCTTTGCCCTTTCCTTTCGACGATGGGGCATTGGGATTGTCGTTCTTCTGGGTCCCCACGCTCTGCAAAGGGGTCAGATGTTGCAGAACTTCAGGATGCTCAGAGAATTTCTCAAAGGCAATGTCAAAAGGCTTGTCCGCTCCAGTTTTTGGCTGCAGCTTACCTCGTGTATCGTTCGACACCTTGACCCACAAAGCTTTGTCAGCATTGATCACCTGTTCCACGCTGATGTGTCTGTAGCTTGACAATGGCATCTCGTTCATCTTTTCAAAAAGCTTTTGCGTCCACAAGTCAAGCACAGCAAAGGTGGCAATGCCTGCCAAATCATATGCCAGTGATCTTCTTAAGAAAGCTTGTCGAAGTTTATGTTCACCAGTTATGTTCACATCATCCAGCTTCTGCTTTTTGCTAAGCCGCAAGCCCCCTGAATTGTCCAGTGCCAAGGAGGTGTCGATTTTTGGAATGCAAAGCCTCATCATGCCTCGATGAGCAACGGTTCAACTCAATGTATGTGATGACATTGTCTTCCAACTGCTGACAAACTCGATCTATGAGGGAGTGTGACGGTTCACTCTGAGGGGTGAAGCTCAAGCCAGTCAACCTTTGCTTCTGCATGCGGATTCTGTCCATCTTTTCAGCTAATGGTATCATCCTTGCCTCACTTGATTCCGATCTGTCCGCTCGAGACTTGAGGTCCTCCAGAGACAATGCGTGTGCCTCGAAAAACAAGCGCCTGAAACGTGTGGTCGAGGCAGCTGTTGGTGCAGTCCCTAACGTCGTGGTCAAAAAGGCAATCAATGCAGTGTCGTCATTCTGCCCAGGTTGGTATGTGCTGCAGTAGGCATACGTTGCATAACTGTTGATCCCTGCAGCATCAAGTGCGTCAACTTCCAGCTGCTCTATTCCAAGTTCCAATGCTCTGTTCTGAAAAGCGACCTTTGAGTCTATTGCCATGTGTCCGGGACAATGGCGCAGGCGTGAAGCAAAAGTTACTTGATGAACCCTTGAGGTAAGTTAGTCAAAAGAAATCAACCATTTTGGCGGCAAACCCTCACAAACAACTCTGAAACCAAAAGCCTGACATGTGAGCATAACTCGAAAGGGCTTCTCAAGGTGTTTTGACATTCTGTTTGAAGCCTGTCGCTGATGAGCCAATGGATATATCACGAAGTTGAATCAGCACTTGACACTTGGATTGCATGCCTCTGCCGCGTGATTTGACGCTAGGCATTGGGCTCCCAAATGATTTCGGCTTTCAATACTCTCGTGATTCCCACAGGCTGTCATCGTGATGCACAACTTCAAAAGAAAAACCTTGGGTTAGCTGCTGTAAAATTTTATGAAGATTCGAGTTGACTCACTGATGCAAGGCTGGACTGCTACACTTTTATATGTCTTGGTGAGGTGCTCGTGCCAAGGGCCGGACTCTTGTCCAGGCCGCAGTTACCAATTTAACTGTCAGCTCTCAATTGCTGTCATTCAAATCACTGTCACGCATCTCTCTTTTAGGCTCGGTAGGCATGTGAGCAGATAACGCACACCATTGCCTCGTCACTGCCATCCAGAGCATTGAACCATGCCACCTTGCAGCTGCAACAAAACAAAAGATCAAATGGCCAGCATTCAACCTGCGATGAACTTCTGGAACATGAATGCAGGTGTCCTCAAGGGCCGCAATCTCTGCCTCCCTCAGCAATTCAGCAGGCTTCTTGACCCTTTTTGTCATATAGCAAGCATGCGTTGCACCTGTCGCCCCAAGACTGAGAAAGTCGTTCAATGGGGCTGCAATAAATCCGATCAAAACATCTTCAAATCTCAGAGCTTCTGCAAACTGTGAAGGCGGAGTAGACCCTGCACCCAAGTCTCTCAAATAACAGACGCAAGAGTATACAACTCTCCCATCCTGTCGAAATGGTGAGCCACCTCCACGAGTCTGAATCCAACATGAAAAACGCAACAAAGCATTGCATCGTTTCTGAATTGTACCTGTTGCCTTTGTGGAGAAAACGTCCATGAAGACCTGTGACAACTCTGCATCGGAACACAGTGTATCTGAAAAGCTCCTCAAAGACTGCCCAAACCGTGTGCAATCTAAATCCAAAAGGACCATCATTTCAAACCTGGCTAGACCGACATGTTGAAAATTGTCACATGAAGACACCACGCATGAAGGAATGATGTGCTGCACAGTGAGTTCAGTTTGCTGTATCTGCATGTGCACCACGCTGTCTGAGGTAAACGCTGTGACATGGTCTGAGAGTCCAGCCAAATGCAATTTCTGAGACACCTGAAAACGCTCCCAAAAATGTTTCGGCCTGGTGACTGAGGATGCCAACGGTTCCCTCTGCCAAGGTTGCTTCAAGTCAGCAATCATCTTGTGCACATGTCTTAATGCCACTTCATATGCAGTAAGTTTGAAAAATAAACTTTGATCTGACAGGCTCGAGGGTTTCGTTGCAACAGACTTGAACTTAGGGTTCATGAAAACCATCTCCTGAGAAGGTACAAAATCTTGATGCACTGAAATTTCAGCTGATGCGTCTTCCAAGTCAGCAGATAAATCTTCTGCGTCAGGCAATTCAACGAGCTCCCAACCGCCGGCAACGTCTGACGTAGTGTTGTCAACATGCTGCAATTCACTGACAGCGGCAGCCGATGAATTACCACTCCATCTGCTTCTAAAACCTGTATGTTCCACAACCATTCTATTCCCAGCTGTGCTCCAAACAACGATGCCTACTATGAGGTGTATGAGTATGCCGGCACCACTGATAGCACCCTGGGACCGCGCAACCATAGCAGCAAACCTGATTCGCCTCACTTGACTCCGCTGGCTGAGCCTGTGACTCGCCTGCCTCTGGGTCTGACGACTGAGAAGCACCAGGAGTGAGGACGATAGGAATGCCCAATCGACGTGCCAATTCGCTGAGGATCAAAAACAATAGAGAGACCAAGTGATGATTTGACAATGCAGCAATCTGTCTCGTGTCCATTGACCCCCTAACGCCGAAGAAAAATTTTGGTTGTGAAAGAAAGGTTGTTTAACCCTCCTCTACCTCACCCTTGATGTGAAAAATGCAACACGAACATAAACTTGACGTGTGTTTCCAAGGGGAAGGTATGTTGTTTGTTTTGGTTGTACAAGTTGTGATTTAGATGCCGCGTAACACACAAGATTTAAGTTTGTAAACGATGGAAGAAAGGGGTTTTGCACTGAGTTGCAAAATTTTGGTCTTCAGAAATTTTGCTATGTTCTTACAAAGATGGTGCTCTCACTTCGTGACAGCACTCATCATTGAACAAAACGGAGATGGACTCCTCGAACAATCACATATGCCAGTAGGCTGGCCATTGCATATCGACGGAGCTTTCCGACAAAACTGTGCCCACCGGGACGCGACCAGAGCTTGATGATTTGCTAGGTGAATATGACCTAAAAAGAGACTTGGTTGAGATAAATCATAAACCACCCCAATGGTCGCACAATGCAGTGTGGAATAAGAAACATGGAACCAAGGCCAGGCCTACTCTGAAACGCTATGGGCGGACTCGGAGCATGCCATCGCGCAAAAAACACAAATCTCTTACGAGGTGCAGGACACTGACATCCGCCGAGCAGTAACGGCCACCTCAGCTATGCCAGCTGCCACACTGCCAGACAGCGCTTTCCTAGCGGCACCAAGAACCCCAGCGCTCCTAGCAATCCCACCGCAAACTGGATCACTAGCGCAGAGAGCCATCGAGGAGCGGGAACGAAACCTTTGTGAGAACACAGCAGTGGCAATCCTCGAGCAGATGCAGACCGGCAGACCCGCCCGCATCAAGAAAGATGGAGGAGAAATGCTCATTGCCATCGTACTCGATAGGCCACTTGCAGAAGCCAGCCGGACACAAGATGAGGTAGCACCCGCGGAGGCTACAACGAGTTCCTCCAGAAGCTACAGCCAACGAGCCGCAAAAGCACGCCCCCCCACACATTCGCATATCCAATTCCAATAAGGATCAGAGGACAACGTGAGGTTCTCACGGTTGCCACTCACCGATACCGAGGCCGAAGCTATCTAGACCCACGTCAGAGGAGTCACTGGTCACCATGGGGTACTGTAGTTGCAGTTGCCGTACGCTGGTGCTGTGCACCACAATGCTAAAAAGCTTTCCCAGACCTATTTTTTAGATTGCACCAGGGGCAGCGTAAAGCCGTTAAATCGTAAAGCTCAATTTTCTTCAAAAAAGCTCTTTGATGTTTTAAAAAAAATCCCAACTTTACCACTTTATGATTTTATGATTTAATGATGCGATTTTCAATCTAAAATGTAAAACCAAAGGTAACTGAGAGAGGGCGGAATTTAAAAATCCGCCCACACCGCTTTGGCGGTGAAGGCGTGCTTATTGGGGGGCAACAGCAACACTAAATGCTCAATGACATTTGTTAATATAGCAGTCGCTATATCAGCTTTAGCTGGGGGGGGGCCAAAAACGGTTTCGCACCGAGACCAGAATACGGTGGTGTTTTCGACATTTTTCGAGGATTTTTGGGTGTCTGAGCGCAAGAGGGTATTGAAATGGAATTTTGGGTCATTTTGGTAGCTTTCCGGCAATGGAAAAACGGCCAAAAATGAAAAAAACATTGTACATAGCAAGATTTTGCAGGGTTTTTGGATGCCAGAGCATTGAAAACACTGCAAAAACAAGTGTTTTGGACTGACGTTATAGCAAAAAACGTGTAAATTACCGTATGCTTGACTGGAAACATTACAAAAACACTGTCAAAAGCAATGTTTTGGAAGGATTTACTGCCTTTATGGCAAAAAACGTGTAAATTACCGTCTGTTTGACTGGAAACATTGGAAAAACACTGTCAAAAACAATGTTTTGGAAGGATTTCTTATTGAAACTTCTTAGCTTGAAGAGCCCCCACGGGGGAAAACCACCCTTAGCCCCTCTCACGGACCGAATTAAACCTGCGGTGTGGGCGGCCACCCCACGCGAAGCGGGGTGAATAGCCACGAACTTTTTCGCAAGACTAGGAATGGTGTTTTGGGTTTGTTCCCGTTTCATCCTTTTCCAATGGATGCATATTTCAATCAGCAACATGACAAGAAGAATGTCAAGACTGTCTATATCCGTGTCAGGTCTAAAAAGCATGAAATCAAGCCCCCTCTTTAAAGTCATTTTCACCTTGGTTCACGGCAATGCTTGGAAAGCAGGCACGTATGGAAATACGGATGTTGATAAACAGGACAAGATGGACGACAGGCAGCATCCATCAATCGATTTGCATGTGCTATCACCTTGGGACATGTCAAGAACCACCACTGGTTGCTTCTTGCGCTGGAAACCTTCATGACAGACATGCTCCCAAACTGCGGAATTTTGTTCATAGTCAATGACATGTTTGAAGCCAAGCGGTGGTGTTGAAAATGAAGCAAAATGTGGCTTCATCTATTGAAAATTCGACAGAAGCGCAACCAAAAATGGAAGCAGAAAATGGCATCAGGCATTCACCGGCAAGCAGCGCAAAGTCTACTCAATAGCCTTTGTTTTCTCATTGCTACGCTGCAGTCGCATACGCGCGGAGTTTAAGAAAACGTTGTCGTCGTCACTGCTGGCAGGCAATCGTGCCTTCAGATAAAGCAGCTTCCCTGAAATACTTTGAACAGAAAAACCGTAACCAGGAAAAACCTTGAAAGCACACTTCAATAAATGTTCTTTTTGATGGTGGGCGCCGTCACTTTTGTTCTTCAGCACTGATGAACCAGTTCAAATCGGCGATCCTCAAGACCCCAAGATCAAAACCAGCGAAATACTTAGATAAAATTTTCATCCATTGGAAAAGGATGAAATGGGAACAAGCCCAAAACACCCTTCCTAGTCTTGCGAAAAAGTTCGTGGCTATTTTTAAATTCTGAGGGGCTGATTGGTGGGGGGGCGTTACTGGATGGATTCTAGGTGGCCTTCTTAGAAGCTGAACATGAAGGCTTTGCCACTTAGAAGCTCTTAGAAGCAGAAGGCATCTTAGAGGCCTTCTAGATGTCACCTGCTGCATGGGTTACATGTATCATTCCCTGCTAGCTGTGGGATTGTAGGACACGATTTGCATGCTCCTCTGCGCTGCATTTTCTGCCTCCATTGCATTCCTACATACATACATACATACATACATACATACATACACACATTACATACATTACATACATTACATACATTACATACATTACATACATTACATACATTACATACATTACATACATACATGCATTACATTACATTACATTAAATTACATTACATTACATTACATTACATTCATACATACATTCATATATAGAGTTACGCGCATAGATACATTCGTACATCCATACTTACATGCAAATATCAATGCAAACATACACACAGACAGAAAGACAGACAGACAGACATACATACATCTATGGAGGCACACATACAGACAGACAGATAGACATTCATACAAATATGTGTACATACATCTATGCAGACATACATGCAGACAGACAGGCAGGCATACATCTATGCAGTCATGCATGCAGACAGACAGACAGACAGACATACATCTATGCAAATACATACAGACAGATATATATATATATATAAATATAAAGATAAAGGCATACATACATACACACATACATACATGGATACAAACATACATATATACATACATACATACATACATACATACATACATACATACATACATACATACATACATACATACATACATGCCTACATACCTACATACCCACATACCTACATACCTACATACATACATACCTACATACCTACATACCTACATACAATACATCTATACATACATAAAAACACACATACAGACAGACATACATACATAGATACCTACATACATACATAGATACCTACATACATACATACATTACATACCTACATACATACGTACAGACATACATATATACAGACTGACAGGCAGACAGACATACAGAAAAAAAACACATACCTACACAAACACATTCATACAAGTAGGCATACATACAAAGAGCCTTGCATACATAAAAGCAAACATGCATCAATACATAAAATAGCAAACATGCATCAATACATACATACATACATACATACATACATACATACATACAAAGATAGATAGATAGATAGATAGATAGATAGAACATACATACATACATACAAAGATAGATAGATAGATAGATAGATAGACAGATAGATAGATAGATGAATAGATAGATCGATAGACAGATAGATAGATAGATACATTACATACTTACACAAACACAAACATACATACATATTTACACAAACACATACGTACATGTAGGCATACATACATACATACATACAGACAGACAGACAGACACACAGACAGATCATACAGTCATGCATACAAACATACATGCATACATACATACATGCATACATACATACATGCATACATACCTACATACAGACATACATTTTTCCAGACAGACAGACATACATACAAACATGCATACAAGCATGCATACACACATTACATTACATTACATTACATTACATTACATCACATTACATTACATTACATTACACACATACATACATTACATACATACATACATAAAAACATGTAGGCACACATACAAAG